TTGACCCAGTGCGAGACAGATATATCAATGCGGGCCATTTAAATCGCGATATTATTTTTACTGTCGAGGGGGGAGGGAGGTTGATTATGATCAGATTGAAACAATTGATCGGTAATTTAATTGTTCTCTTGCAGACGTACGAACGAACGTTGCGAATAATTCGTTTAAGTTAACTTTTTGTATAAACGTTTAAAAGGAGAGGCTTCTTTAAAAAAAGAAGAACAACTATAAGTCGTACAATAACGTTTTCTCAGAATATTATAAATAAAATGACTCGAAAACGAACATTTGTTCACATTTCAAAATGTGTAACGTTAAATAAAAAATTATTTATAATTGTACGACGTATATTTCTTCTTTTTTTAAATTCCTAAAAAAGTCTCTAGTTATTTATTCAAGATAAGACGAATCTTGTGATAAAATCAAAAGCAAAATGATTCCTCTGCGACGAAACTGTCGACAAGAAGATCGATGTTTTAGGTTCCGAAACAATTGCAATCTTTTTATAAATTTTAATTTTGATTGTATCACGTTTTTCTTATTGTATATCCACGAATGCAAAAACATTTTTATGAATGCGATTGTACTTTGTTTCAACTTACTAACGTATTTTAAAGTTAATCCCAGTTCCTGGATAATATTCTTATCACGATCCGACCATTCAAGGACAGGATCAATTAAGATCGCTGTCTTATCAGTGATGTCAGCCAGTAAATAAGTGTATGTACTTGACACGGGATCGAACAGCTAAGAGTTCACATTAAAATTGATTAAAACGTAGCAAACATAATAATTCCAATAATTATCAGCTTTATAATTAATCGTTTCTTCTTAACAATGAATTAATTATTATTTTAATAATAATTTCAGTAATTAATATTCCTGAATTTAAGATATTAAGATAACATGCAATATGAATTTTTAATATAGCCAACAAGTTTTAACGAACTTTTCGGTTTTTCAGTTCTTCGGGAAGTTCGTAAATTAATATGAAATTTTAGTATAATTAAATATGCTGCACTTCCCATTTCACCGAACTTGTAATAACTTGTTAACCCTCTTAAGAATACCCTCATCGCTATTATTAATTTCTGTGAGCTTAATAATCGCTTTTAATAGAAATTATTCTAAAGATTGCCAAACCTTTCGAGTTCTACTGCATTCTAAAATTAATTTTTCAATTATTAAATTAAGTACTTAACATTTATCTACCTTTCGTCCTGTAACATTTAATTATCTCTAAATTTCTTCATACACGATAAATCCAAAAATTCAATACCTTTTTCATAAAAATTTCATGTCTCATAAAAAGCCTATTATTATATTTATATTCTCTTGTATATTTATAGTGACCGCTGTATCGAATAAAACTTTTACAACAATTTCAAACAAAATATAATCGATAATATTAATAGAAAAGTGATCAAATCTGAAATTCATCCAGAAATATATCCTAACTATTTTAACCGAATTATTATTACGTTACTAACGCATAATTATGCAATCTGATTTATCACTGGCCACTGTATGTAACTATATATACATTTCTGCAAGTATGTTCGAGATGTCGAGCCAATTGTACAATATCAACGATACATTATTACATTAAATTTCTACTTTCATCGTAACATTAATATCCGGTAGAATATTAACATACTATAACTGTAAATAATCTCTGCTCAGTTAATAAATACAAATAAATTGTTTGAACACGTTAGTACAGCCTCGATAGCAAGATGTCGCTGCGTACGCGACAATGGACAATAATTACGCGTTTATTGACTTACTTGGTGAAAAAGAAAATCTTTCGAGAAGGGAATCGGTTCTGTTAGCGCCGTGGACATTTTGTAACTCCTCTTAGTAACGAAATCAGGCTTCGAGAACAGAATCCTTGTGTATTGTTGGCACAAAGTTTTTAGTAAAGGTGTACGCATATCTTCGAACCACTCGTACCTCTCATGCTGTCTGATGCTGTCGAAAGCGTGTATTCTTACTGACAGTTTGCAACCGACAGCGCTAACCTAACGGTTAATCTAGTCAAAATGACTCATGGACAATAATTATCTTCTCAATCATTGTACCTGTATTAATTGATGTCAACTATCTTGTTTCTTAACGCGTAATCGAATATTTAACGCTGTAAACCTTATTTCGTATAAATATAACAGAACATTCGCGTTGTACAAAGAAAAGGTTAGTTGGTGTCCTTTTTTTTT